GTATATACTCCAAGTCTAAGTGCTATCTATCCATCATTCCATCCACCATTCCATCCATCCATTTATCTATCTTTTATCTATCTGTTTATTTATCTATCTATTTACTTATCTATTTGTCTACTCATCCATCTATCTGTGTTGTAAGCTGCCCAGAATCCGTTGCAATGAGACGGGTGGCAAACCATTTTAACAAATAAATAAATAATAAACAAATGAATAAATCCAATTTTCCTTCTTTAGTGAGAATTTCAAAAAAAGGTTCTGTATCAAAGCAAATGTATTCAAATGTGTTTTTCACCTATTTTTCTACAAACTTTTCTTTCAGGCTTTTACATTGATTGCTGTGTATTTATGGACTATTCGCAACATTTAACTCCAGGGAAGAAGCTGTCTGTCTGAAACAAAAAGCAAACCAAGTTATACTTATGGTTCACTTAGCTACATTGTACTGAATGTTAATAAGAAGCAGATACACAATATCTCCTATTTTCAATCCCCAGTGACTGGGCTGCCACAATACAAGTGCTTTAGCTTTTCATGCTGTGTGAACTAATTGCAGTGAACCTTCACTTTGGAGAAAAGTTTTCTGTAACACACACCAATTCACAAACCTATATAGATGCTTCACAGCCATTGTATTTTGGCTCCTATGCAGCTCTACTGTTGCCATTTTGGGGCTGCAAAAATCCAGATGTTCACTAAACCTCAGCAAATAGCCAGATTCCTCTCTGTTTCTTTACTGCCACTGTTTATAAGTTTATTCAACATACTCCCCCCCCCAATTGTTTTTTTTTTAAAAAAAAACTTTAAACAGCAAAATGGTGATTAGAACTTGCTTTTGGAAAGTTACTAACCGATTAAAAGTCCAGATGCATTTGAAATAAGATTTTGGAATCTATTATAAGAATCCTTCCCATGGAAAGATAAAAAGTGCTAAGATGTTACTGAAGTGCCAAAACTTTGAATATTCGATACAAGAGCAGGGGTTCCCAACCTTTTCTATACCCCACACCCCTACAACGCTTTTGGTATATTCTCGCACCCTTACAAAAGTAAGTAATTAAATGCATATAATTATGTATCTACACTATAATTTTGAAACTTCTAAACCCAAATTTCCCCACCCCTTGGAATATCGTCTCACAATGCCCCACTAGAGGGAACTAGAAGGATCTCGGAATTACAGTTAAAGGAGAAGAACACTTAAATTTGACTTGCTAATACAGACTGGACAAAAATACTTTTAGCACAGTACATATTGAAGAATATTCGTAAGCAATGGACCCAGAAATTAATTTTAAAAGTTTGTGCCATTTAAGAGTGACTGCCATAAAGACAGACAGATAAGGCTGGACGGTATTTGGAAGACATTTTACCATACAAGATTGAGACTCATCTGAAAGTGATTCTAAAATGGACAAGAGATATTAACTTGGAAAGCTTAATACATAAATGTCTTGATGTCTTAATGCTTAAAAGGGGAAAGCATAAAACAAGTCAAAAGAGTGACACGGCTAACTTTCCTATACTGAATTTACAAAAGAGACTCATTAAAGCTTTGAAGAGGTCCGTGAGAAGGGATAAAGAAACTAAGTAAAAAGAAAGACATTATTTGAAGGGACTAAAGATTGTTAGCCATAAAAGGAAAGTATGTAAAGTAGATTTATTTCATCAAAGTGAAAATAGATATATTAGAGAACCAGTCTGGTGTGGTTGTAAGGCATCAGGCTAGACACCAGGAGAATGTGAGTTCTAGTCTCACATTAGGCACAAAACCAGCTGGGTGATCTTGAGCCAGCCACTTTCTCTTAGCCCTAGGAAGGAGGCAATGGCGAACCACTTCTGAAAAACCTTGCCAAGAAAACTGCAGAGACTTGTCCAGGAAGCCCCTGAAAATCAAACACAACTGAATGGGAGGCAGGAGGCAGGGATGAGATATGGTAACCCTTAATGGGCTTTTGTTGATCGGGACTGACAATAAAGTTTTAAGAATTTGCTTATAGGTAAACAGATGAGCCATGGGAAGAAGACATCCTTTGCTGTATTTTAAGATAAGGTGATGTTACTAAAATTGTTTATACTTGTGATGAAGGGGGACGTTATTTCTTTATATATTTTCCTTTACTATAGATTTTCTCCCTTCCTTCTATTTTTCCTTTCAATTGTGTATTTTCTGCACTTTCTCATTTTTCTTTTTGTTCTTTTCTTTTTCTTAGTTTGTATTAGTTTTTATCTTTTTACTTGTAATATTTAACACGCTTAAAAAAAAAAAAAACTAGGTGGCAAACCCAGCCATATAAAGCCACCAACATTTTGCTGCCATCTAGTGGCCACTCAGATATGGTACACTTAACCCTGCCATGCAATTGACTGTTTAATTTACACAGTCTAGTAGTCTAAGCTCAAATTGGCACCCAGGTAGTTTGGAGCAAGTTAAAAGAGCTACAAGAGGGGGGGAGGGTGGTCCCCAACATCCTACTCAGTGGAGATGAAAGTAAGGCTTGATTTTGCCAAGCTGAAAAAGGGAAGTGTAATTTTTTATATTTTTTTCATAAATTTATTGCTACTGTTTAATAAATTATCCTTTGTTCCTCTGGGATATCAGCTCAAGTAGAGCTCAAAGCTGAAATACAAACACACACACACACACACACACACACACACACACAGTGCTGTGCAAAAGTCTTAGGCCACCGTTACATTTGTTGTTGTAGCAATGGTGGAATGGAATGGAATAGTTTAGTTTACTTTATTGTCATTGCACCTCGTACAACAAAATTAAATACCACCTTCAGTGTATGTTATGACTATGAAAATAAACACAAACAAACACCCTTCACATTCTATACATTGAATTGAAAACCCTTGATATTGCATTAATATTGCAGAATAGTTTACTTTATTGTCATTGCCCCTCGTACAACAAAATTAAATACCACCTTCAGTGTATATTATGACTATGAAAATAAACACAAACACACACCCTTCACGTTCTATACATTGAATTGAAAACCCTTGATATTGCATTAATATTGCAGAATAGAATAGAATAGCTGGAAGGGACCCTGGAGGTCTTCTAGTCCAGCCCCCTGGTCTAGCATTCGAGATTCTTTTCAGACAAATTACTGTCCAGTCTCTTCTTAAAAACCTCCGGTGATGGGGTGCCGGCGATTCCTGAAGGCAAGCTGTTTCACTGGTTAATTGTCCTCAGTAGTGACCCTATATAATTCTGTCTTCAGTTTCCTTATTATAATATAATACAACTATAAAATACAGGAAATCTGTATGCAGTATTGAAAAAGAGGAAAAAGCGGGTGGGGGGGGGAACAGCTTCCATAGCTCAAGTGGCAAGTATGCAGTGTGAGCTCCCCTATTCTTGAGCCACATCAGACACTTGGCTCCCCATAAAATCTGGACTAGAACCCCACCTTGCTGCCATTGCTGACCCCTGAATGTGCCCTCCTCTTTCATGCCAAAATGACTGCTGGACTATAAAAAGCCTATTTATACCGGGTTTGTGCAAGACATGCTCTTGTTTCACACTCTCTCTCTCTCTCTCTCTCTCTCACACACACACCCCTCCGTATGGGTGCAATTCATTGTACGCTCCCTAAGAAAACGCCCAGTGCCAATCACAGTCTGTCACAGAATTTGACAGGCAGAAAAATCAGGTGTTTGCACCAGCAGGGCTGCTCTCACACGGGAGGATACCAACACACAAACTGCATATTCAACACATGGTGTTCAAGATGCCCTTTGAAAAAGCCAAGCTTAAAGGGGGTGTCGTCTTCCAGGTGTTGCACACCCTTTCCGTGCAAACCCAGAACTGCAACCAAGAGGAAAGTTGTGACCCTGGGAAGCCTTAACTCCCACTGGGGGGGGGGCAGGGGGTTTGTCTTCCCCACGGGGCCCACGTTGCTGTGGGAGCTTCATCCCTGGAAGCTTTCCAAAAGAGACAGGACTGCCATCTATTAATCAATGGTGTGGGAATCTCCTGCTTGGGCGGGGGTGGAGGGGGGTTTGGACTAGATGACCTCCAAGGTCCCTTCCAACTCTGTTAATCTGTTAATAAGAGCCCTCTGAGAGTCACCTGTCAGAAATGGTGTAGGACCTCCTGCTTGAGCAGGGGGTTGGACGAGATGACCTTCCAACTCTGTTATTCTATTCTATTCTAAATGGTATAGGATCTCCTGCTTGGGCGGTGGGTGGAGGGGGGGGGGTTGGACTAGATGACCTCCAAGGTCCCTTCCAACTCTGTTAATCAGAGCCCTCTGACAGCCACTTGTCAGAACTGATGTAGCGGGGGTCCCCTGCTTGGATGGGAGGAGGTTGGGTTAGATGACCTCTAAGATCCCTCCCAACTCTGTTAATAAATGGCGCAGGGTCTCCCGTTTGAGCAGGGGTGAGGGGGTTGGACTAGATGACCTCCAAGGTCCCTTCCAACTCTGTTCAATCGGATCTGCTTTTGTTTCTTCCACCAGGCCCGATTCGGTCCCTGACGGGGAAGAGGAGCGGGCGGGCGGAGAGCAGAAGCCCCCCCCCCCCCCGGGCGGAGGATTGGGCAACCACGCCGGCTCTTGTTACCCAGCCAAGCCGGGGCGGTGGCGGGGGGTGGGGGAACGAGAGAGCGCCCCGAGCGGCCCTTCCCCTGCCCGCGGCCTGAGGAGGCGGCGGCGGCGGCGGCGTGAGGCGAAGGAGGCGGAGGCGCGGCCGGCGGGGTTTTTTCCACCCCTGGGCGCGCGCTTACCTGAGGCGGCCCGGCTCGTCCCGCAGCTTCGGCCTCTTGGCGCGCGGCGCCTCCGCCGACCTCCTCATGCCGGCGGCCCCGAGGCGAGTCCTTTTTTTTTTCCCCTTCCCCGCCCCCTTTCCCTTCCCTTCCCCGGGCAGCGTGGAGGAGCCGAGGCGGGGCCAGGCGGAGGGAGGCGGTTGCTCCGGCGGGGGCGCGAGGCCGAGGGGCGCGCTCGCGCACAGGAGGAGGAGGAGGAGGAGGTGGGGGGAACCGGCGGCTTTCCTTTGCGGCGTGGCCCGGCCGGCCGGCCTGTTCTTCTCTCCCCCGCTCAGGGGAGGCAGCAGGCGGGCCGGGCCGGGGCGTGGCTGGGCCTGGGAGGACTTCGCAGCCATCTTGGGCCGCGTTGCTGCCTCCGCCTCCTCCTCCGCTCCTCCTCCGCCGCCGCCGCCGGTGGTTTCCTCACGGGGAAGGTAATTGGGGGGCCCCGGGCGGCGGTGGGGTTTCGCCCAGCCACCGAGCGGGACTCCCGGGTTTCGCCCGTCCGCTTGAAGGGTGGGTGGGTGTGTATGTGTGTGTGGGGGGGTCGTATTTGCGGGAAAGTGGCGGCTCCTCAACCCTCTCGGGCTCGGTCCCGATTTCAGGCCGCCGTCCTGGGACGGCCTGCCGTCGGGGTTGGAGACGTTCTGGGCCCAGAAGCTCCTCGGACCGGTCCCTGAAGTGTGGAGGAACACAGCAGCCGTTGTGTTCGCCACGACACAAACCCGTGTGTGGGTTGTGGTGTGGGTGCAAACCCAGCCCGTCCGCGTTTCATTTCAAAGGGTGTCCTGGTTTCTCCGGACGGCTTCTTGGCGGGGGGGGTGGGGGTGTCCCTGAGTGGGAGGTCCGATGCGGTTTCAGAAGCCGCTTCGTTCAATGAAATACGACATATTCTCGGTTTTGAAAACAAACAAACAGAACAAATGCAAAATCTGGCTGCTTTTACAGCATCGCTTGCTTTGTTGTTGTTGCTGCTGTTGTTGTGGGAGCTTCGTCCCTGGAGGGTTTCAAGAAGAGACTGGACTGTGCCACCTGTTAATAAATGGTGTATGGGTTTCCTGCTTGGGTGCGGGGTTAGACTAGATGACCTACAAGAGCCCTTCCGACTCTTGTTAATCTGTTAATAAACGATGTAGAGTCTCCTGTTTGGGCGCGGTGGGGTGGACTAGATGACCTCCAAGGCCCCTTCCAACTCTGTTAATCTGTTAATAAGAGCCCTGGGACAGTCATCTGTCAGATATGGTGTATGGTCTCCTGCTTGGGTGGTTGGGGGGCTTTGGACGAGATGACATCCAAGGTCCCTTTCAACTCTGTTATTCTATTCTAAATGGTGTAGGGTCTCCTGCTTGGGGGTGGGGGTGGGGGATTGGACTAGATGACCCCCCAAGGTCCTTTGTTAATAAATGGTTGTAGGATCTCTTGTTTGGGCGGGTAGGTGGGGGTGGGGGTGTTGGAGTAGATGATGTACAAGGTCCCTTCCAATTCTGTTAATAAATAGTTGTAGGGTCTCTTGCTTGGGCGGGTAGGTGGGGGTGGGAGTGGGTTGGACTAGATGACCTACAAGGTCCTTTCCAACTCTTCTTAATCTGTTAATAAATGGTGTAGGGTCTCCTGCTTGGGCAGGCGGGGGGGGGGAGTTGAACTAGATGACCTACAAGATCCCTTCCAACTCTGTTAATAAATGGTTGTAGGGTCTCCTGCTTGGGTGCGGGTTGGACTAGATCAGTTGCCGCCAACCAGTGGGCCGGGGACCACTGGTGGTCCATGAGAAAAATTTGGTGGTCCACAGAGAAATGTCATCCCCAAAGCAATTAATCCAGGCTGTGCAGGAACACAAGGCTGTGCCGCCTACATGGCCTGCAGGAACACAAGGCTTACATCGCTTGCATTGCGAACAACACGAGGTAGGGAGGGGAGGGGGGAAAGGGCAGCGGGGGAACTTGCCCCACTCGCCCCACATGCCTCGCCTGGCCACTGGGCTGCTTCTTTCCTTCTTCTGCTTTTGGCTGCACACAAGGAAAGCAGCAAAACTCTTTCTTTCTCTCCCAAACAACCAGAAATGACCCTTTGGGACCCTGCAAGGCATCCTGCTCCAAGAGGCTGTGCCAGTGCAACAAGTCTCACAAAGACTCATTTCTGATGGAGTTTCGGGGAGAGAAAGAAAGACTTCTGCTGCTTCTGCTGCTTTCCTTGCATGAAGCCAAAAGTCTCTCTCTCTGTCTCTTTCTCTCTCTCTCTCCCTCTGAGAACGGAGCTGAAGACGGTATCCTGCGATCCCAAATAAAGAATGATCGATCAGTAGGAAAACGGGGTGGGGAATTTTCCTGCAGATTTTTGGGGGATTTCCCCAGGGTCTCTGGTCCGTGGGATTTAAAATTATGAATTTGGTGGTCCCTGAAGACCAAAAGGTTGGCGACCTCTGGACTAGACCTTTTTGCTGAGAGGAAACCCAAGTCGAAGATGAAACCAATCCGAAAATGTGTGGTTGTGACTTGGGATCGAACCAGGGTTAAACCAAGGCATGATAATGTTCAGTGTGTCAAAAAAAGTTTTGTGAGGGGGGTCTCTTTTTTTTGGCTTTGGTATGCTTTATAATATGATTCATAAATGAGGCCTTAAGCCCTCCTGGTTGAAGGGACTAGAACAGAATAGAATTCTTTTATTGGCCAAGTGTGATTGGACACACAAGGAATTTGTCTTTGGTGCATAAGCTCTCAGTGTACATAAAGAAAAAGAAATAAAATAAAATACATTTCATCAAGAATCATAAGATACAACACTTCGTGATAGTCATGGGTTACTAATAAGTCAAATCATACCAGAGAACAAGTAAACAATATAAATTGTAAAGAGACAAGCAACACGGTTTTAAGTCATGAGTGGGAAGAGATAGGGAATAGGAAGGATGAGAGGAATAATAGTTTGACAGTTGTGGGAATTAGTTGTTTAGCAGAGTGATCACATTTGGGGAAAAACTGTCCTTGCATTGTTCTGTTGTGCAGTGCGTCGTTTTGAGGGTAGACTGTGGCTTAGAACATGTAAATATATTCCAATAGTGGTTTGTCCTTATATGTTAAGCCATGATTTATTTAGGGAAGGGATCCCTAGGTAAACGAGGGGTTGGCCGAATTCACACAGACCACTGAGCTGTAAGCCCTGGCTTAACAAACCACAGCACTGGAGCTGCACAACTTGGTCAGACCCAGGGCGCAGAAGAGGGGGAATAACTTTTTTAACTACACTTAAGTTGCGTGTTGTTGCTGCCTTCGCTTTCCATTAATCCTGGCTAAGATACTCAGCCAAGTAAGAGTGCCGCAGCCAATCAGATAGACTACTCCTATCCAGGTGAATGGAGCAGAGGTAGCCTGGGGTTTTCTTCCCCCATCCTTGGGGGTTGTACAAGGGGTTTGGCTCGGCATACTGACACCATTGGAAACACTTCAGTTGTGATTTGTGGCTGCTCTTGTGACCCAGGCTGTAGTTAAGCTACTCCACCTTAGCAACAGCCTGAAGCCTGGAACACCTTAAAGTTAGTTTACATGGCCTGTTGTGATTGGGTAATGGGGTGTGTGTTGTAAATAGTGTAGGGTCTCCAGCTTGGGCAGGGGGTTAGACTAGATGACCTACAAGGTCCCTTCCAAGTCTGTTATTCTGTTCATTTTTCTGTTGCCCCAAGAAAAAAAAACAAAGTCCCATTTTTGGATAATTTATCCAGATTTGGGGAGCACTGGTCTAAGCCAAAGAAAAGAAGCTATTAAAGCCTTACTGCAGTTGGCCTAGCAGGGCAGGAACGCCAGGCTGTGATTAGCCACAGTTTGTACCCCTGAGTTTTTAAATTTATTGTCCTAAACCACGATGTCACCACCCAGGCCAAAATCCCTGTTAATGTCAAGTAATGATGGGCAGTAATAAAATTTGCAATACTCCTGAGTATTTCTTACCTCTTCTGCACAAGTGGGAAATGAAATGCAGTCAGTAAGAAGTTGGGAACAGGTTTAGCCTCCCCACCCCCCACCCAACCCCCAAAATATAAAGAGCTCAGTTGTTGCAGTCAGTTTAGGCCCTCACATTTATTTAAGGAATTTGTTTTGACAAATGCCTGAAAAGATAACGCAAACTGTGGACGGCCATGTCATGTGAAGCAGAGGCTTATCCGAGGTTCACACCAAGCATGAATCGGCACACGAGAGGAACTGGGGACATTGTGTACTTGCGTCTGCACTTTTGGTTTGGAGTACATCGGGATAAGGAAAAAGTGGCCCCCATCACGCTCAAGCATTCAGGGTTTGTTAAGAGGAGTCCAGATGAAAAGTGCCAGAGAGCCTTATCCAACATAGTTATGGGAAGTCTGTTTAGTCACCTCTTGGTTTGGACAAGCCCTGAATTGGCTGGGTTCACACAGGCTGAGCTACAATCAGACAAACCTTAAATAGGGCTTAACATGCATTTCTAAGTCAAGTTGGTTTTTTTCAGCAGACTCTGTAAGAGAAAAGGAGGCAAACGCTAAAGGTCATATCATTGGCATAATAGAGATCGTCTTTGTTTTCATATGCTGAATTATTGCAAGATCAGAGATCCAGCGATACCAAATGCTGCCATGGCCCTAAAGTATTGGTCTGAGACATAGATAGATCGTCCTGTTTCCCCCCACCCCCTCCATGGAATTCATCAAAGTCCACCTTGAGCCAGAAAAGTTTAAAGTAGGTTGGTTGGTTACTTTTGCTAGCATGGTAGCTGAAAAAGTAAAGGTTCCCATGATTTTTGCACAGATTGTGGCTATCCACACTGATGAAACGATAAATTAACCATCAATCCCTGTAGCCCGAAAGAATGTTTCCAAGTACATCTTACGGATTTTTATAGAGAATCTCCCTCAAATGGCCTTTGAAAGGCAGATGATGTTTATACCCATTCATTATGCAAATAAGATCCCTGATCCAGTTAATCTGTGATGTCCTGGTGTGAGTCATCATCAATCCCTTTTTTATATATATATTTTTTTAAATTTTTAACAATAAACAAACACAAAACATAATACATAAAACAACAAATAAAACCCTCTTTCAATTGTACAGCGTGTCGGTTGGTACATATGTCTTGTTCACAATATCTATAGTCTTTTCCTCTTAAATTTACATTCATATTGCATTAATTAACTTTTCATATCATATTTTATTATTATTATACAATCATTAGACTTTAATTTCAATTCCATATTATCCTTTAGAGCATATCTCAATTCTTACTAATTTTTATACATATTATGTTTTATTTAAAGATAATCAGTTATAACATATCATTACTACTATAATATACTTCAATTTCTTACTTTTCTATTTAACCATTGATAGAATAAATCCCATATTTTATAATACTCTCTTTCTTCTTGCTCTCTAATTGCTAATGTTATCATCATCAATCCTTGTGATTATTA